AGGTATTGTAAACAATTAATAAATATAAGAGTATGATTGAAAATATATATAATTTAATATAATAGTTTATACATGGTATATTAAGTTTGTGTTAAAAATGATATAACGGATTGTTCGCATCAGATTTAAAACCATTTTGATAAAAAGTTGTGTAAATGATTAAAGTTGGTCATCAGATTTTATAGCAAACACCAAATATTACATCAATTCATTCCAACAGGTTTCATACACCAAATTTGATGGAATGAATAATAATGAATCAATTCGTTCCAACGGTTTAGTCCATCAAAATGACATCATATGCAACAATTTACTCAATAAGCGTTTATCGTGGTAAGAGTCGTCGCCCTCACTTACCGGGTAAGACTCTTGGTCCTTGTGTCACTCTTAGCAAGTAAGATTTTTGGTTCTTATCATATTCGTCTGGTAAGGTAATATGACTTAATAAGTGCTTACCTGGGTAAACTTTTGGTAAACGGCCCCTTAATTTATAATTATTAACTTATCGTAAAAATAAACATATATGGTATAATTTATAATGTTAATAAATACAAGGGTATTACGGAAAATTCATGTAAGTGTTAAATACAAATTGGTTTCTATGGTTTACATATATTAACGAGTAAGGTTCTTGAAAGAAATTATTAACAAGGGACACCCTATATTTTTATTTTTATAATGGATATGGTCTTTCCTCTAATTCATTTAGTTAAGTTTCCATTAGTGATGAACATTTTTGTCTATTCACCTTCCTTTTTATTTAACTTTAATTTTCAATAACAAATTTGATCTTTCATACTACTCTTACTTATGTATCATATTTTGTCCCTCAAACTAATTTACATTTCTATAACAGATTTGGTCCCCCAAACAATTTTTTATTTTTATAACAGATTTGGTCCGCCTCTCAATTTTCATTTTTAGTATTTGGTCCCTCTATTTAATCAATAAAATTTGGTTGCACATATGTATTTTCTATATACAATTAACAAAATAAATAAATAAAATTTGAAGCTAGATTTTTCTACGAAATATTTTATCGTTTCATAAACATTACTTTCATGAAATCTTTTAGCTTAAATAAAGCATAATTTTGATAATTATTTTTTTATTATTTAAAAATTTAAAAAGAGTTCTAAAACTAAATATCAAACAATATATTAAATAATAAGATATAAAAGTGTAAGTTTAAGTAATTTAATAAAACTAAGTAATAAAAAAAATATAATATAGTATTTACATAAGAAACACAAACATAAATTTAACTATTATACACATTAAAAATGGTTGGGTATTTAATTAAAACTTTTTAAATTTTTAACTAATTAAATCAAAATTTTATCAAATTTATATTTTATTTGAGCTAAACGATTTCATGAAAGTAATGTTTCTAAAGATAAAATATTCATGACAAAATCTATGCTTCAAATTTTATTTTATTATTTTGCTAATCACATTTAGAAAATATATTTTTGTGCCACCAATTTTTATTGATTAAATGGAGGGATCAAATATTAAAAATGAAAATTGAGAGATCAAATCTGTTATAAAAATAAAAAATTGTTTGAGGGACCAAATCTGTTATACTAATGTAAATTAGTTTGAGGAACCAAATATGTTACAAAAGTAAATATAGTGTGAGGAACCAAATTTATTATTGAAAATTAAAGTTAAGGAAAGAGAAAAGACAAAAATGCTCCCTCACTAACAAAAACTTAATTGAATAGGTTAAAAGAAGAACCATATCAGTTATAAAAATGAAACTATAAAAACATCCTTTGTTAATAATTCTTTCAGAAACCTTATTCATTCAGATGGACAAAATTAGTATTTAACTCTTCATATAATTAAAGAATCACTATTTATAACATTTTTATAGGCATCTTGTTGAAATTTAATATTATCTATTGAAGAGTGTTATATACTTAATTTTTTTGCACCAAATATATTATTTTTATACCATTTTAGTGTTGTGAATTATCTTTTATTAAGGTTTTGATATTTATAAAAACAGTGCTTCTGTTTTAAAAGATATATATATATATATATAGAGAGAGAGAGAGAGAGAGGGTATATTTCAAATGCAATCATGTTCATTTGTACAACCAATGCAACTCAATTAATTGAGATATTTATAGAAATGATGAGAGGTCATTTATTATGATTTGAATATTTATGGAAGATGAATATGGTTCATTAATTATGATCAATACTTTATATTATGAAACAATAAAAACTTTTATGAAATCACATATTTATCAAATTAAATGGACAGTTGAGATTGAGTTGTACAAATGTAAAGGGTTATATTAACCCACCTCTCTCTCTCTCTCTGTATATATATATATATATATGAACTCAATTGAACTCAATCAATTGAAATATTTATGGAAATGATGAGAGTGTTAAAAAGTTAAATTGGGTTAGATAGATGAAACCAACAACGTTTTAATGTTTATAAAACTTTTAAATATTTAATCGAAAATTTTAAAATTTTTAAGATAAAAAGTGGTAACTTTTTGAGTCCGGAATCCACAACACCTCAAAACATGCAAATTCACACAACTTGAATTTATCATCCGCGATACATTCAATGAAAGAAAGGAGTAGAAGCAGAGTTGTTCACTTAATGAACATAAATTAAATATAATGCACGAAAATTTGAACCAACCTGATTTATCTGACGTTGAATCGTAATCTTCACGATGAAACCTATCCTTAAAGGTTTTATACGACTACTCTTTGTTCGTTATGAGTCTGCTAGTCGCAAAGCCCCAGTATTTGATGCAACATACGTTTTCGTTTATCAACAGCGACGAAAACGAAAACTTAAAGCACGATGAATGCAGAAATCAGTAGAGAGAAAGAACGGGCAAGAGTAGAAATCGTTGAGAGGAAGCAATGATAATTTTCAGGTGGTTTCTAGGGTTGGTTTCTACCCAGTATATTATATTGGGTGAAACCCTAAAA